TGAGCAGGGAGCCCGATGTGGGGCTCGATCCCAGGACCCTGGGATCATGACCTGAGCTGAAGGCAGACGCTTAACCGACTGAGCCACCCAGGCGCCCCAAGAAGGTGCTAGTTTTAAAAAGTGGATTGTGTTATATAATAGTTTTGTCTCTTGTGGTTGCAAGGAACTAAGACCTACTCAAGTTATCATTTCTTCTTTCATAAATAAAATACAAAAATTAAATAAGCACTTAGGTACCTACAGTTTGGCATTTTTCTTACTGACCAGTTAAACTCTACAAATGTGTTTACTTGTTATTGTTTTCACCAAATTTTCCTAAATTAACAATAATTTTAATTATTGAAATAGATTATTTTTATATTTATTCAACAAATATTTTGTGCTATGCTTACTGCATGCAAAGCATCATGCCAGGCAGTGGAGCTATAGATACAGGCAGGGCATGTATGGCCTGCTAACTTCAAGGATTCTAGCAAGAGAGACAATTGAACAGGCATTTATAAGAAAGAATTATTTTAGAGAAAGCATATTTTAGAGACTGCATAATCAAAGCAATGATCATACTTAGAAAGTCAAAGGAGACTTCCAATGAAAGTTAATTAAGAACCTGAAAAATGAGAGGAGTTAGCTAGGAAAAAGTGTCTGAAGGAGATGAAAAGGGAGGAAAAGTGTTAGGCAGAGAAATCAGCTTGTACATAGGCACTGAAGTACAGAGAACATCTTTAAGAAATTTAATGTGATTAGATTATGGGGTTCATGGCCAGAAAGGTGGAAGGAGGATCTGTGATAAACCCTCATAACTTTGAGAAGCTTAAGGTTCGTTTTGAAAGCAACAAATAAGCATATACTCGCCTAAAATATAATGTTTAATATCTAGTCCACTTATGTAGTTTCTTGAAGGCCAGTCTCAAATATTTCCCAAACCTACTTTAGCTAAAAGATACCACACACTAAATTCAGTTCTCATTCTCTGTTATGCTCTTGGAAGTAATCATACTCTATTCTGTCCCTTTAAAAAAAAAAAAAAAATCTAATTTTTAACCATTAATTATTTTAGTGTTTGTTTTAACTCTTCACATATATAGTTAGCGTCCTGAACCTAGAGCTTGTTGAACCTTGTATATAATAAAAGCTCAGTAAGTAGGGGTTTATTCAGTTAGCTTGTAACGGAGTACAAAAAAAGAAGAGAAAGACTAGTTCGAATCTGAGTTTCCTCTTATTTAGCTGTGTGATGCTGCACAACTCTCTGGATTAAGGTTTTCTTTGTCAGATAACAGAATTGGATTCTTCCCAATGGGGATGGGGGCTGAGAAGGATGATTTCACTTTCAAACTAAGGACTACGCCTCCCTCTAGAGTTGGATTTTCTTTGAGGGTGTTACCTACTACTAACACTCCTGGAATAGCATAGTGTTGGATGAGAGTTATTATTGAAGGGAGTATGATGCATGATGCACATGAAAAACCCAGAGGTGGAGGTAAGATGTTATATAGGTAGTGGGATGGGCAATTGACTTTTGAAGTTATTGTAACTGACACTAATCAGACTTGCACACTTAATATACTGTGTTTGATTCCCTTCTTTTATCTATGGATCACATTTACGGGCGGTTTAAATCAGCTCAGTGAAGAAGGAAGTATATACATATTTATTGTGACTAAGGTGAAGCTGAATTTATGTTCTCATTATGATGAAACACCTATTAAATAGCTTCCTGTGTAAAGAGAGATGACCGAAAAAGGGAGAATGGAGGTAGAGAATTTTTAAGAGGGAGGTCCAGGGAATGTAAGTTCTGTAAGGGAAAGTAGAGCTGAAGCTTAGGAGATACTCATTCATTAAGAAGACCCTGAGGGTTGTTTAGTTTTTTTGCTGCAGTGATGTTAAAAATGGTAACCCTAAGTAAAAAAAAACTAAACTAAAACGCTGTATTATGTTCAGTTGAACGTAAATTATGCTTAAAAAGAGGCATTTCTAGCAATAGTGTTTAAAATAAAAGCTTTGTCCTTTTTTTTTTTTTAAGATTTTATTTGTTTGAGCGAGAGAGATTACAGAGGGAGAGGGAGAAGCAGACTCGCTGCTGACTGAGCGGAGAGCCCAATGGTGGGGCTCAATCCCAGGACCCTGAGATCATGACCTGAGCCGAAGGCAGCCACTTAACTGACTGAGCCACCCAGGCGCCCCAATAAAAGCTTATTCTTATAAAGAAGTAAATAATGAGCTAAGTAGAAATTTTGGTTATTCAGAACAGCTGTAATCTTTTCCCCCCAAAACAGCCACTATTAATGTACTAGGGGAAGCTATTCAAAGGTGAGAACTGAAGCCATGTAGCATGTTGGAGTCGATAAGTCAGTCTCAATTGTAACCAATAAAAACTACACTCGGGCGCCTGGGTGGCTCAGTTGGTTAAGCGACTGCCTTCGGCTCAGGTCATGATCCTGGAGTCCCTGGATCGAGTCCCGCATCGGGCTCCCTGCTCGGCAGGGAGTCTGCTTCTCCCTCTGACCCTCCCCCCTCTCATGTGCTCTCTCTCTCAAATAAATAAATAAAATCTTTTAAAAAAAAAAAAAACTACACTCAAAAGTGTTTAGTAGGATATTCAACATGTTTTGAAGAGGCGGTAAGGAGTATTGGTTTGGTTTGAGTGAAGTCGTTAAGTTAAATTAACTAAGTGTGAAAATAGCCAGAAAATCAATGGCTACTATTTTAATTGACAAAAGTTATTTCGATTAAAAAAAAAAAACTTTCACTGTTATCGGCGATGTGGTGCTAAAGAGGAATTGGTTGGGGTGCCCCAGTAGCTCAGTCGGTTAAGCTTCCGACTCTTGATCTCAGGGTTTTGAGTTCAAGCCACATGTTGGGCTCCATGCTGAGTGTGGAGCCTATTTAAACATAAATAAATAAATAAATAAATAAAAATAAAAAGGGATTGGTTGTATGGGATAAACATCAAAACAATGGGGGGGGGGAATAAATACAACTCTTCCTAAAAGTAGCTGTGGGTTAAAAATACAGTTAGTTTCTAAAATATACTTTTTAAATTTCCTGGATAACACACCACGTATTTATGTGGAAACTAGGAGTATTTTAAATACATCCAGCCATTCAGTGTAGTAGTTGCTTTTAATTATAGAACCTCCTGGAAATTCTCTTTCAGGAGGATTCTTCAGCCACTATGTCAACCGGCACAGATGTTTCTCTTTCTTCATACGATGAAGATCAGGGATCTAAACTTATCCGAAAAGCTAGAGAAGCACCGTTTGTTCCCAT